GCCCGTCGAGGGTTTCCGTGAGAGAGAAGATGGACTTCTACTATTCAAGGAACGAGTGTGTGTACCATCGGATGAGGAGCTCCGAAAATCTATCCTTGAGGAGGCTCACTCATCTGCGTATGCCATGCACCCGGGCGGTACAAAGATGTACCGGGATTTGAAGGAAAGCTACTGGTGGTCGGGGATGAAGAGAGAAATTGCAGAATACGTGAGCCGTTGCCTTACTTGTCAACAGGTTAAGGCAGAGCACCAACACCCGGCAGGGTTACTACAACCACTTACCATTCCAGAATGGAAGTGGGAGCATGTTACCATGGACTTCGTGGTGGGTCTACCACGGACGGTTAGGAACTACGACGCGGTATGGGTGGTAGTCGATAGGCTGACCAAGAGCGCTCATTTCCTACCCATCAACACTACTTATACGCTCGAGCGGTTGGCCAAATTGTACACAGATGAGATTGTGAGACTGCATGGGGTTCCGGTTACTATAGTATCGGATAGAGACCCACGGTTCACATCACGGTTTTGGCCTAAGTTCCAGGAATCCATAGGTACGAAATTGAGGTTTAGCACCGCGTTTCATCCTCAAACGGATGGGCAATCTGAACGAGTGATTCAGATCTTGGAGGACATGTTAAGGGCATGTGCCTTGGAGTTCCAGGGGAGCTGGGACAATCAGTTGGCTTTAGTAGAATTCGCCTATAACAACAGTTATCAGGCAAGTATAGGCATGCCCCCATACGAGGCATTGTATGGGAGGAAATGCCGGACACCATTGTGTTGGGATGAGGTCGGCGAGGCTAAGCTCGAGGGCACCGAGTTAGTCGAGATCACTAAGGAGAAGATAAAAGTCATACAGGATAGGCTCAAGGCTGCCCAAGACCGGCAGAAGAGCTATGCTGATAAACGTCGGAGGACGTTGTAGTTTGAGGTTGGTGACGAGGTATTTCTGAGGGTATCACCTTGGAAAGGGATCATCAGGTTCCTCAGTCGGGGTAAGCTTAACCCACGATACATAGGTCCGTTCAAAATCCTTGAAAGGATTGGGGTGGTAGCATACCGACTTCAGTTGACCCCAGAATTAGAAAAGATTCACAATGTATTTCATGTTTCTATGCTCAAGAAGTATGTGCGGGACCCGTCACATATTCTTGAGAAACCACCGGTAGAAATCCGAGAAGACCTACATTATACGGTACAGCCGGTAAAGATCATAGACCGGCAGGTAAAGAAGCTAAGGAGCAAAGAGGTGCCGATGGTAAAAGTACTTTGGAAGAGTGATCGTGTCGAGGAGCAAACGTGGGAAGTGGAGACCCTAATGAGGGAACAATATCCATTTCTGTTTGTTTAGACACGTAGATTTCGGGGACGAAATCCCAAATAAGGGGGATAGAACTTGTAACACCGCCCCCGAGTATTTGTACTGTACCAAATCATGTATTGAACCCTGAGAAATGTATAAAAGCGTTTTTACGTGATTGTAAATTTTTATCGTTTCTTTTACGTGAATAGAAAAATTCACGTGGGGCCCACACCGGAGGTGGGGGCCGCCCGATATTATCGGGGCCACATATTATATTGATCTTGGACTAGATAATATGTATATGGTGGTGGATATCCTAATTGAGCCATGGCAATGGCATAGGGTTGACCGGTTGGTCAAACGGGGCCAAATTATCAGTATCGGCAATTTATTAGATAATAGCCCGAAAAGGGATTTTGGAGACTTCTAAATTAAAGTTGAGGAATGCATATTGATTCTAAGGTCCAATAAGGATTGGGAACAAGTATTATATTTTATTTGACCCGATAAAATAAAATATACTTAAAACAGTCCGGAAAATACAACTTTCGGGACCGATTGTACACGTGGGAACATAAAGGGATGACCTCCCACATGGGTGGGGGCCACCCCACGTTTTTTTACAGACTTGTTTGGTTAGAGGAGTGTGCAAATACTGACTTTGGATGAGAGAGCCGAGCTAGGGGGGAGGTTGAGACAAGAATTGACTCCAAGAGGACCCCCCACCCCTCATCATGGTCTAATGAGCCCAAAATAGACTCTCATCACCCCTTACAGCCATTCATTCGGTTTTGGCATCAACTGAGGTGAGATAAGCTCTGCAACCACCTTATTCTTCACCCATTTTCGCACCAAGGCTAAGGAAGAAGAAGGGGAGGAATAGAGAAGAGAAAAGAGGAAGCTAGAGAGCAAAACTTGAGATTTTCAAGGTAAGGACTTCATTAATCCCATTCCTTTTCTTAAACTATCTTATATGATTATTCAATCATATTTCACACCCTAGGATTGTTCTACACGTTGGGGTGTGTAGAAAGAGGGGTTGGAAGGTGGTTCTAAGTCCAAGAACGGACTTAGAAGCCAAAGTGACCGGTTCGCCGGAAAATAACCTTTTTGAGGTTATTTGTATTACTATGGGTTTTATGATGATAAAACCTTGTTAGTAACTTGTCTAAGGTATTCAAGGAACTTTCACGGAGTTGAAAAGGTCGCCGGAGTTGTCGCCGGAGTTCGTTGAAGTTCGCCGGAGTTTCGTCGGAGCTAAATCGGGGAGGCTAGAACTTCATAAGCTTCATTAAGGTGAGAAGACGGCTTTATGCTTTATAACTTTTGCGTGAGGCATGAGATTACCTAAAGTAATCAAGGATATGTTTTGTGGAATGATTAAAGATAATCAAGTATTTGCTTATGCCATGATTTTGCATGAAACATAGTTGGAAAAGCATGTTATGTAGGTTTGGTGAGTAAAAATGTGATAACATTATTTGTGTGATGATCCAGGGATCCAAAATGGTATTTTTGGATCAAGGACATCAAGAAGTATATGTGTGTAAAATTTCAAGTTAATCGGACTCCGTTTGGGTGGTCAAACGGGCGTTGACCACTAAGTCAACTGCCATACCCGATCGGGTATTGACACATACCCGACCGGGTATTTGTTGAAAATCAGCTTTGTGGACTACTGTCTCCTGTACTCGACCGAGTATGGGTTAATACTCGATCGAGTATTGGGTTATGCTCAAAACGGGCAGTTTTGAGCGGGTTAATGTGGGCCGTTCAGATGGGACCCGCCCACGTTGGATCCTAAGGATTTGTTATATGACTATAGGGCTAGGCATTGTCCATAGTTAAAGGAATGAAAGGTTAGCCATATCCAGGTTAGGATTTGGTAGAGAATAGACTGGGGATCGAGTACCCTTGGACGGTAAATGATCCAGAATACTCCAGGTGGGGTCGAGTACCCTTGGACGGTAAATGATCCAGAATACTCCAGGTGGGGCCGAGTACCCTTGGACGGTAAATGATCTTAAATACTCCAGGATGGGTTGAGTGTCTTGGACGGTAAATGATCCTAAAACACTCGGTAGTATGAATCAAAGTTAGACTATAGCTTGTGAGCTAGGTAACCGGGAAAGGAGTGAGAAAAGTCAGGTAAAAACTTTATCTCTAAAAGACTCTTTAAAGTAAATGACCTACGGGTTGAGTATTTTACGAGTATATATACAGTATGTATCATCGGGTGGATGAGGGACATCTATATGTATATATCACCCTATTTTTGGGTCTCGTGTCTGAAACATTAGTTATTCTTCATATAGCCTGCTTGTCACTAGTACTTCTATGGAGTACTGACCCCTCCGGGGGCCCTCACATTTTTCAGGTTGAGGCTAGAGTCCTACTACCTGCACCTTTGCCTAGGGTGACTGATCGAGAAGGAAGACGTGGTTCGTGCTTCCATTCTTATTTCAAATGTATAAACCGCTCATGGATTTTTGAACAATATTTTCATTAAAACAGTTGGGGGCCTGCGTGCCCGTGTTTGCCACGTGTGGCTAAGTATCAAACATTTTATTATTCCGCATTTGTTTGATTATGATATTGATGTTGATTGTATGTGTTTACTAATCGGTTTGGCAATAGAATCAATCGGACGCCTGGTACAATCCAATAGGGGTGAACTGTTGTTGTTCCTATCGGGTTGTACGGCGGTTGTCTACGTGGCTCGGATGCGGTCCGGGGCGTGACACGACCCGTGACCCGGGCGGGTGGCCCGGCCCGAACCGGACCCGTCCAACCCTCGGGCCGGTACCGGGCCCACTTTTCTTGAACCGGCGGCCTGACCGGGCCTAGGCCCGGCCCGGACCCGACCCGACCCGACCCGACCCGAATCCATCCCTAATTCAAGGTATGGGAGGCCCGGAACCGGCCCGGGTAACCCCCGGGTCCGGGCCAGCCCGGGCCTCGGTTATATTTTTATTTTTTCTTTGGGCTTTTCCTATTTAACCCACAACCCTCCCCCTCACCCCTAAACCAACCCTAACCACCTCAAATGGCCCAAAATACCCAGCCCAACCCAAAAACTTAAAAAAAAATAAAAAATAAAAATAAAAAAATAAAAAATTGGCCTGGCCCGGGCCCGAACCGGCCGGGCCGGTTCACCTTTTGAAGGGCCTGAGCCCAAACCGAGAATCCACTGGGCCGGGTGGCCTGAACCGGCCAACCAACCGGTTCACCGGGCCGGTCCGGGCCCGCACAGTGGCGGGCCGGTCCGATTCCGGGCCAGTTGGCCCGGCCCAAGTCCACCCCTAATCAGACTTATAAGCCAACTTTTTCACCAAACACATAACTTTTACTTTCACACTTTGAATTGTGTAATAAGCATAAAAAGTAAGATTGAAATTACTTGTCTGACTGTATTGGCTGAAGTTACTGTAGATAACCATTTTACCTATTCTTACATATAATTTTTTCTTTATTTTATTTATAAAATATATTTAAATTTTTTTTTTCTTAAATCAGCAGAATCAACCGATGCACTCACTTCAACCAGAACTTTATAAATTTCATTAAAATCAACCAAATCAGCCAATTTTCGTGCTACCAAATGGGCTCCAAATTTTAGCTTTTATGATTTCCAATCTTTTTTAGTTTTTATGAAGTGAAAATTTTCTCAACAAAAAGCAACAAATCAGCGTGATGCATGCAAATATGCAATAAACTACAATCAGATCTAGTTTCTTAGAGTGAGCAAATGAAGATGCAAGATAAATATATAACCATGTGATGATCTCTTCTCTAAATGCGTCTTTCAGCTGATCTGATTTTATCATATACGAGTACATATTTCAATTTCAACAAACTACAATCTCAAAGGGAGAGCCGTGTAGACATCCATATTCCAACTGATACAATCCCTATAGTAGCTAAAGCTTGGACCAGCTCAAATAATACATTTTGCTGCTGCACAATCGAGCTTTGCCAATCCGTGCGCCTGTTTAACAGATCAATTTCAAAACCCGAAAAAAGTTAATCTAAGCAAGTTTTTCAGTCACAGGTCAACCATGGTTTGCAACTATAGTTGTGCAGAGCTCCGAGCCTCCGACCTGTACACTCATTATGGGCTTACAACGAAGACTTTTTTCTTCAACATATGAAATATGAGCATGCGACAAAGATACACAGTTTTAATCAACTCATTCTCCTAGTGTACTTGCATAAATCTGGTGTCTATAGTAAGAATGACTATATGGAATTTGAAGACTTTTGTCTTACTGGATTATCATACTGGTCAAAAGCTGAAGAAACACAAATTTGTAACACTAAAACGTTCAAGAAGTAGTACATACCCCAAATCAGCAATAATGATGCTGATGTTATCTTGTGATTGTCGATCCTGCAGAAAAATATAACAGGCATTGACACACATGTACTTCGTATAATCAGGGCCGGCCATAGAGGGAGTTACCCTAGACAAGTGTCTAGGGCCTCCAAATTTTAGGGGCCTCTAATTTATAAAATAAGCTTATTAATATTATTTAGGAGACTTTGTCCGGCCGTCAACATTTGGGATAGTTTCCTTTGTAATTTTTTGATGATTTTTTTTTATAATCTTATTCATTATGTCTAGTTTACTCATACCAAATTTCACCTAAAAATTCAATCGGGAAGACATTCAAATGAATTCTTGAAGATAACTGCGCAGTTAAAAGCGCAGTTATCTTCAAGAATTTATTTGAATGCCTTCCATGTTGAATTGTTAGCTGAAATTTGGTATAAGTAAACAAGACTTAATGAATAAGATTCTCAAAAAATTTCATCAAAAAATTCCACAGGGAACTGCCCCAAATGGCGACGGCGGGACAAAGTCTCTTATACAAGGGCTTATTTGACCTTTTTGGTTAGTATGTGGGCTTATTTGCTCCTTTTTCCTTTTTTTTCTTTGTTGGCTAGGACAGTAGGGCTAGGGATTTAGGATAATGAGTATTCTAAATATATTTGAATGCTTATTGAATAATTGAAATTGTAATTTGTTATTTTGATTCATCGAAATATTGAACATACTTATAATTTTTTATATTTGATTAAATTTAGTGAATTAATTTATATCTATGAACCATTAACTTATATTTAGTGATAGTATTATTTTGAATGAAATTTTATGTTTTGTGATGATTGGAAAACAAAATATGAATCAAGATGTACAAAGACAAAGAAAAAAATTAAGAAATGATTTGATCATGAAATCACTTTCCGGCTCTATCTATCGGTATGTTGTATGTAAGCACAAAACCTTCTCCCTCTAGGGCTCTTTGTATTTTTTCATCAACTTTGATCTTCTGATTTCGAAGAATATTCTCACTATGTTAATAGTATATGATGTATTTTATATGTAATTTACTTATATTTAATTGCTTTTTTTTATATCATTGGGTTAAATAAAACATATTTAAAACAAAATTTCTACATGACCGTCTAGGGCCTCATAATTGCTCTAGCCGGCCCTGCGTATAATATAATTCAAATAAAATTTGGATCTAAGATGAAAACGAAGAACTAATCTTGATCATCGATGTGAAAAATCGATGGATTAAATTAATTTTAAGTAAAAAAAGGTGGGGTATTATTGTAAATCGCATCACTACACCAAAAGTGCATTGGTACATTATAAGAGTGAATCAAAATCTAAAATATTTTTTTCATAACCTCAAAAGTATGATAACATTTTCTAAACAACAATGAACACACTTCTATGTGAGCACGATGCCACAATGCACTTTGTATTAAAAGATGTTGCACACTATTAAAGTTTCAAATATTTACAACTTTGTCACCATCTTTCCGATGAAAAATTTATCTAATCCATCAATTTTAATTAATGAAATAATTAAATTATTCTAGTTGTTCAGATATTTCACTTGGATTGATTTTTTTTGTCAGATCTTGTCTGAATTGGTCTGGCCTGGTTACTTCTATCTAAATCTAGTTTGGTCTGGTTTGATTTAGTCTGGTATGAGGTTGAAACCAATCCAAGTGAAAACATCCTTAATGGGAAAATTGTTTTCATTAGAACTCAAATATATAGTAATGTAACTTAGCTTTTGTATGAAAGATTGCATTAGAATATGGTGAACTTAATTACCAAGGCAATCCGGGCAAGGGCTTCACATGCTCTCTGTCGTAAGAGCTAGAAGATGTTAAACACAATGTTGTAACTTGTAGGAGGGCAATGGGAGTATTGGAGTCATGGTGATAACTTTACCTGAACATCCCCGTGTTCCCTAAGTTGACTTCTAACAATGCTAACTGCATCTGAGCTGAATTTTGACAAAACTCATCAAGGGAGTCAAAAGCTGCTGAGTATTTCAACCAAACACGGCTGAACATAGATTGTAATCTTCTATAGTGCATTCAAAACAGACCTGTTAATGTAATCCCACAATCCATCGGAAGCTAATAGTACAAATTCTGCATCTGATCCAAGGGTAACTTGAGAAACATCCGGTGATGCTGTCAGCAAATCACTGTGAAACTTTACCCTGGGATGGTATATAACAGTTTTAAATAAAATACTAAGAGTCTAAGACATTAAACGTGAGTTTGTATCTTTATATTTGGTTGATATGGAATAACTTAACATTCTCCCGCAAAATGGCTACTCACTAAAACAGAGCAATCTTGAAGATCATGGGCTCTTATTGAATCCTAATTGAATCATACACTTGCTTGAGTTTAATTATGTCTAATACCACGTTAAAACTTGAAATTTCTTCTTAAATGATTTACATGATAGGAAGACTAGCTTGAGTTTGGCCAGTATAAGATGACTTAGGCACTTAGCACATAAAAGAAAGGACATAGTCAATGTCCTACCTTTAAACATCAAATCTAGCATTTCCATGTAAATGCACAGTATATAATATAAAGAGATGGATCGGACCTGAAATAGAACCTACCGAGAAGCAAACTTTTGAGCCCACCTGCCTTCCTCAACACCCTTCTCCAGCATCCTTTCAGTCAGCATGCCATAAGATGGATAAGATATTGTAAAATACTGGATTGCAAGTCCATACTATTTGGATTTGTAAAGTAGTAACGATTTACAACGCTTAGTGGATAACAAAACGTACTCATTCTTCTTGTTCTTAAACCGCATGTCTCCAAAAGCACGGGACACAGAGATGTCTCCACATATTCGCCCATTTACAATCTGCATTTTCTTACACAAAACTGGAATTAGAGTTCATGCTAAGAGCATCTTTAAACTCACAAAAAAGCATAAAGTATAAAACTCACCCATCCACCAGCTTCCCTAATCCGTCTAATTTCTTCAAGGGAAGCTTTGTTTCTTCCATAGGGTCGATGAGAATCAGTCAATGTGTCTGATTTCCCAAACCGTGAGATAACCTGAGTATATGTGAAATATCAAGCCAGGCACACTTAAGCAAGTTCTAGTCTGGGGGGGGGGGGGGGGGGGGTTGATATTGGCTCACAATTGATTTTAGAAGGGTCAAGGTTTTTTTTATCATTAGTACCAAATAGCAATTTGAAGTTTGAACTGTTACATCATGTCCTAATTTGATTGTAAGAAATACAACTCCAATTGTAATGATAAATTAATTTTAACTGTTCGATAAATTCTAAAAGAGAAGCAGTGACTTTATAGTGTCTCTCTTCAAACATTAGAAAATGTCAACAGTGACACTTTTAGTAACTGTTACAATGATCTAAAAGCCAAATTCAAAGTTGGCCTGTTACTCAAAATACATGACACCTACACACATGGGCAAGTTTGATGTATTGTATCACATACCACACACGAATCCCCAACATGTGAAATGAACATAGTGTCATTTCTAACAAAGATAACTGTGGCTGTTGATCCAGATTCAATTTCTTGACCGCTTGCCTCAAGCCTTTAGAAAAGGAAATAGCAGCTAAACCTTAAATGCAATCATATATAGAAGACTTAAATCATAACTGGACCATGTTACCAAGAAACTCGGTAAAACAAGATTAGAACTTTCAAAGATATAACATTTTTGGAACTTACCAATTCACAAGTTTTGCATCAGCATTTTCAAAAGCCTCTTGAAGTGCTTTTCTTATCACATTCAGGTCATTTCCGTTCAACAACACCCCACCATGTAATGCTCTAACACATTCTTCATATAGTTCATCCCTGTGGTTTATATATAGCCCAAGTCATGCATCATACAAAACTTTTTACATGAAAACCTTGTAAAACAGTACTCAGGATTTAATTCTTTTTATTCCGACTATTGACTTTTGTATGTCATTATTCTGACTCACTGTCCCAAAATGATTTGATTTTTTGTCATCCCAATTTTTTAATTCTCTGATTTTGAGTACCAATAATTAATCAAATTTGAATTTGGTTTTTGTGTTTCAAAAGAAAATTTGATTTAATTTTAGAGCCCATTTGGTGAGTCTCTTTTTCGGCTTATCAGGCTTATTAGCCAACTTTTTAACCATAACTTTTGACTTCGCAGGCTGAATTGTGTAATACTCCCTTCTTCCCGGTGATTTCTTCCAACTTTCCTTTTGAACCGTCCCAATTAATTCTTCCAACTTCCACTTTTGGAAAAAATATGTGATTCACATTCATTCACCTTTTTCTTACACAACTACAACCATACATTTTCACTTTATTCCCACTACCTAAATTTGCGATACCGGTCAAAACCGGAAGAAATGACCGGGACGGAGGGAGTAATAAGAAAAAGTAAAGTTGAAGTTACTTTTCTGGCTGTATTGTCTGAAATTACTGTAGACGATCATTTTAGCTATTTTTCATATAATTTTTTCTTTATTTTATTAATAAAATATATTTTAAATATAACTTTTTCATAAATGAGCAGAATCACGCAATACAACCACTTCAGCCAGAGAGCTTCATAAATTTCTACAGAATCGGCCGATTCAGCCGATTTCAATGTTACCAAACGGGCTCTTAATATGTTAATATAATGATTGATGGCATTTTAAATGTTCAGCCAACCTTTATATATCTAAGAGACTATTTGGTAACCAATATCTTAAGCTTATCAACCTTGTAAGTCAATGTTTTTATACCACATATGTAACTTTTGATTTCATGCACAGAATTGTGTAAATGTGTAATAATTATTTTATGTAAAATTGGAGTTACTTTACTGCTGAATCGGTTGAAGACTTGAAGTTGCTGAAGAGTGTCACTCTAGCTATTTTTCATAATTTTTTCTTTATTTTATTAATCAAATATAATTTATCCAGAATTCAACAATTCAATCAATTTGGCCGCTTCCATCAAAATTTCATTAATTCGGTCGATTCAACCAATTTGAGTGTTATCTAAATCTAAATCTATAGTAGGTCAACCTTAAAACCAGCACATAGAACCTCAATTGGGGACGCAGGAAGCAGAACCACCTAACCACAGTAGACAACAACTATTCTATACCGTTTAATTAATACTTCGTATTAAACACTAAAGCCTGAATCATTTTATTGTATGCAGAAAATTCTGATTCTTATTTTTTTTTTTTAAAACCAAAAGACATACATTTCCCCTAAATTTCATGTCTAAATACATGTGATTGAAGTTATCTTATCTATTTACACGCACCGAAGGAATCTAACAGAAGAAAACCCAGCATGGCCATCAAAAACTGCAGCATAAGAGAATCCAGCAAGGTCGTCTGACTGAACTATCATGGCGTCATCCTCCATCTCCTCACGGGTGCCCTGTAGCAGCACCGACCCCCATCTGACACCTGATGCGCCGGAAACGGCGTCCGGTGTATCAATTGCAATGGCAGAGCAATATCCTCCCGCTACTCGTCCTCCACTACCCTTCACTATATTGCCTCTCCTCCTCCATATACTGTAGGCATAGTTAGAGTAGACTCTTGTTACCGGAGACTTTAGGATCTGTGTGTTTAGCAGAGCCATCAGATGATAGGTGGCCAGGAGTCCGGGACAAGGTGGTATTGATTAAAGAAAATGAAAAAATGGTTTTCGAATTTCAAAATAGATTTATCTTTTTTATTTTCTAAAAGAGGAGAAAATACTGTCTGGCGTATTCAAAATTGATACTACCAAAATATGTTATGGAGTAATAGTTTTTCTTAGCGAAATTGCCTCAAATAGGTGTAAATAATTTTAAAAATTTCAAAATAGCAATACTATATTTTTCTTTTCGAAATAAAAGTTGTTATTCCCATGATTGAAAAATATTGTCATTAATAATAATAAATATTGTCATGTTAAATGCAAAGTACCACGACTATTTGTCAGTCATGTCTAAAAGATGGCAGCAAATACTGTCATAATACTCATATTTCGGAAAGAATAACATAACAGTCATATTTTAAAATTTCAAACTCCATTTAGTCCTATTTTGGATAATCTCTCTAACTCTTACTTACAATATAAGACAATGTTATTTAGGAATACACAAGCGTTTTTACTCTTATTTTTAAAACTAGTTATTGAGTCGCACGATGAGGAGGATGCCCAATAGTATATATAAACCGTTAATATTAAGTCATTATATATATATATATATATATATATATATATATATATATATATATATATATATATATATATAGGGGATGGTTCAAATAAAAAGAGGTCTTAACGTGCAAAGTGAAAAGTTTACACTTTTTCATGTTTCGCTTGCACTTTTTCTTGCTTTCGTTGCACTTTTTCGCGATAGCTCAAAAAATTGGTTTATTTACAAAACTGCCACCGTCATTTTGGCCGAATTTGGCCAAAATCAAAATGGCCAAAAAGTGCAACGCAAACAACAATAAGTGCAAACGAAACATGAAAAAGTGAAAACTTTGCATTTTGCACGGGAAGACCACTTTTCATTTGAACTCTTCCCTATATATATATATATATATATATATATATATATATATATATATATATATATTAGAGTTCAAATACAAACTAGGCTTAATTTACTAACCTACAAACTAATCCTAGCCATTCATTTACACTAAATTGCCGTGTGCTTCATCTAGATTAGATTAGATAGCTAAGGGCTTATTAGTCTTCTACATTTATTTTATTTTACGAAAAAATAATCTCACATTACCTTTTCATAACCGATTGTAATTTGTTCTCTCCTCTGTTCATACCACGTTCATCCATCTATATACCCAATTGCTCCAGGATATCAAAGTTTTTCTTCATCTCCATCATATTTCCATCTACATCTCCATCTCAAATTTAATTAATAGAATCTAATTATTGTTCTTCTATTCAAACGTCATGGATTCCAGCATCGCCATGGAATCTAGTGTGCAAGTCTGATTTTTTCTATTTCTTATATTTTTGTTTTAATATTCATTCTTCAATTACATGTTAATGCAAAATTCTTGTAATTTTAGTATCTAAAAGTTTTTGTGTGCAAAGATGTTTCATCTGAATCCATACAATTTCTTATTTATGCGAAATTCCTATGGCTTTAGTGTGTAAAATATAGTACAGAGTAGTATTTTTGTCATTTAGAGCATTTTTTTAATATAATATGTATCTTGTCTTCTAGACCTCGTGATTTTCATATTAATGTCACTTGAGTTTACAATGCAGATGTCATGACGATAAGATGTGCAACATATGGTCCCCTAAGAAGCATCTGTCATCTTACTGAAATCCAATATATATGAACTTCTAAAAATGCACAGGTGATAAAGATAAAATGCAACATGTGAATTTCAAAAAAATGAATGCACATGTCAAATAATGCTCATATTATGTGACCGAAAGTGCAACATATGCACAACAAATGTGCACACATTATAATTATGAAGTGACTAATTTCATAAAAGGGGTTTTATTTCACATATATTATCATATGTGTACGTCTTAATTATAAAATGCACATCTCATAACATTAATACGCTGTTTGCACGTATGTTGAGCACTCATATGCATGTGAGTTGAGTATACGATGCAAATGTCGTAACGATAAGATGCAGCATATGAACTTCTGGGGTGCACGTGTCATTTTACTAAAATGTAATATATGAACTTCTGAAATGCATCATCGACACGTTTTATCAATATGAACTTCTAAAGTAACTTATGCAGACATTATTAATATATGATGCACATCCCGTAACCTTAATATGCGGTGCTTTATAATACATATTCTGTAAACTTAATATGCATTGCTCACATATAATAAACTTCTACTTGTGTTAAATAAATTAATTTCTTCATTAAAAAAATGGAAGATAGGTTTCAAAAATAGACTGTTATTATGGAGCGATTGATTTTGTAAATCAAGAGATTCTATTTGTAAATTTAACCATTAATTATTCATTACAAAAAGGTAAGTTATTTTTGAATTTAGGCTATATCAATCTAGGGATTTACCTTGTCCGCCACTTTCCTTGTATAAATTGCTTATATTTAATTGATTGATTACTTTAATTAGTGGGAAGAAAGTGGGAAGGTGACGTAAATCAAGGGAAAACGTTTTAAGATTGCTTTAATAGCCTTGTAACTAATTTAATTTTCATACGTTAGTGGGTCTTGAAATTTAATCAAGTGCATTTCAGCCCATAATACTAACATGGATGTCATACGGATGACCATCCATTTAATGCAAATGGAGAGTAGATTAGTTTGTAGTTTGCACCGGAAGTGGGGTTTGTATGTGTAGCTTAGCTTGTAGTTTGCACCGGATGATCTTCCCCCATAATATATATATATATAGGGAAGAGATTAAATAAAAAGACGTTCTCCCGTGCAAACAATTGTACTTTTTCAGCACCGCGTTGCACTTTTGCGTGTTTCTGTTGCACTTTTTCGCGATGGCAAAAAACTTCGTTTTAATTACGAAATTGCCACCGCGTTTTTGATCAAATTTAGTTCACTTTTGGCTCATTTTGAGCCATTAGATCTCGAAATGAACGCACGAGATTAATTCTTACTTTGCATGGGAAGACCTCTTTGTATTTGAACCATCCCCTATATATATATATATATATATATATATATATATATATATATATATATATATATATATATATATATATATATATATATATATATATATATATATATATATATCACATACAAACCCCACTTCCGGTGCAAACTACAAACTAATATACACTCTCCATTTGCATGAAACGGATGTTCATCCGTATGACATCCATGTTAGTATTATGGGTTGAAATGCACTTTATTAAATTTTTAAGACCCACTAACGTATGAAAATTAAATTAGTTACAAGGCTATTAAAGTAATCTTAAAACGTCTTCCCTAGATTTACGTTACCGTCCCACTTTCTTCCCACTAATTAAAGTAATCAAGCAATTAAATATAAGCAATTTATACAAGGAAAGTTGCGGACATGGTAAATCCCTAGATTGATATAGCCTAAATTCAAAAATAACTTACCTTTTTGTAATGAATAATTAATGGTTAAATTTTCAAAATGAATCTCTTGATTCACAAAATCAATCGCTCCATAATAACAGTCTATTTTCGAAACCTATCTTCCCTTTTTTAATGAAGAAATTAATTTATTTAACACAAGTAGAAGTTTATTATATGTGAGCAATGCATATTAAGTTTACAGAATATGTATTATAAAGCACTGCATATTAAGATTACGGGATGTGCATCATATATTTATAATGTCTGCATAAGTTACTTTAGAAGTTCATATTGATAAAACATGTCGATGTTGCATTTCAGAAGTTCATATATTACATTTTAGTAAAATGACACGTGCACTTCAGAAGTTCATATGCTGCATCTTATCGTTACGACATTTGCATCGTATACTCAACTCACATGCATACGAGTGCTCAACATACTTGCAAACTGCATATTAAGGTTACAAGATGTGCATTTTATAATTAAGACGTACACATATGATAATATATGTGAAATAAAACCCCTTTTATGAAATTAGTCACTTCATAATTATAATGTTTGCACATTTGTTGTGCATATGTTGCACTTTCGGTCACATGATATGAGCATTATTTGACATGTGCATTCATATTTTTGAAATTCATATGTTGCATTTTATCTTTATCACCTGTGCATTTTTAGAAGTTCATATATATTGGATTTCAGTAAGATGACAGATGCTTCTTAGGGGACCATATGTTGCACATCTTATCGTCATGACATCTGCATTGTAAACTCAAGTGACATGCATATGAAAATCATGAGGTCTAGAAGACAAGATACATATTATATTAAAAAAATGCTCTAAATGACAAAAATACTACTCTGTACTGTATTTTACATACTAAAGCCATAGAAATTTCTAATAAATAAGAAATTTTATGGATTCAGATGAAACATCTTTGCATACAAAAACTTTTAGATACTAAAATTACAAGAATTTTGCTTAAACATGTAATTGAAGAATTAATATTAAAACAAAAATATAAGAAATAGAAAAAATCCGACTTGCACACCGGATTCCATGGCGATGCTGGAATCCATGACGTTTGAATAGAAGAACACGAATCAGATTCTATTAATTATATTTGAGATAGAGATGGAGATGGAAATATGATGGAGATGAAGAAAAACTTTGATATCCTGGAGCAATTGGGTATATAGATGGATGAACCTGGTATGAACAGGGGAGAGAACCGATTACAATCGGTTATGAAAAGGTAATGTGAGATTATTTTTTCGTAAAATAAAATAAATGTAGAAGACTAATAAGCCCTTAGCTATCTAATCTAATCTAGATGAAGCACACCGCAATTTAGTGTAAATGAATGGCTAGGATTACTTTGTAGGTTAGTAAATTAAGACTAGTTTGTATTTGAACTGTAATATATATAGGGGGGATCACATACACAGGGCCGTCTTTAGGTTGTTTGGTGCCCCAGACAAAAACTAAAATTACGATTTCATATTAGTCACTAATGTTTTACACGATAAATTATATATAGACAAGAGTAGGCATCCTTTGTTCAGGGTGTTCAGGCAAACACCCAAAAATTTGAAAATAAGATGTAAAAGTACATGTGTAAAATTGATGTAATAATGTATTCTACCTACATTGTA